AAATATATAAATGATGTGCATAAAATTAACAGGTGTCACACCTATTCCGGGCTTGAATTTGTTTCAGTTATAATACTAATTGATATTTTCTTAGGCAAAAGTATTTCTTTTAAAGCGGAAAATAAACACCTGTTCACTTAAATGTCCATATGTATTATCTCATAGCAATTATTTACATAGTTGCTGGCTATTAACTTATGTCACTTCAACTGTTAACAATCCCTTAATTAAAAAAAATTAAAACTTAAGCGCATTAGGGTGGCTAGATACGCTATAAATGAGTTAAAAAGTTTTATCATCATATTGAATGGCAAATTAAAATTTAAAGTTTTGAGTTTATTGAACTAATTGGGGAGTTTAAGGAGTTCAGATATTCATTTATTTATATAATATTTTCTATTGCAAACTGTCCATATATGGGATAGTCGAAAAAGTCTTTCTATTCAAACTTCAACTTATTTTTTTATATTTATAATGAACTTTAATGAACCAAATATGTACCATTTTGGTCAACCACTTTTTTCCATTTTTCTGCTAGAGACATTATTCCAGGTTTCTCGGCGAAAAACAGCGACAAGTAATTTGAACAGGCTTCTCTTGAAGCCAACTTTACTCCATTAAGGGAGTTCTGCATTCATCGAAACAAATGGTAGTCCGATGGTGCAAGGTCAAGGCTATATGGTGGATGCATCAAAACTTCCCAGCCAAGCTCTCCCAGTTTTTACAGAGTCATCAAAGATATGTGTGGACTAGCGTTGACCCGATGAAAGGAGAAGCCCTATCCGTTCATTAGTTCTGCCCGTTTTTTTTCGATTGCTTGTTTCAATCTTATTAGTGGTTGACAGTAAAATGTAGAATCAGTCGTTCGACCAGGTTGGAGTAGCTCATAATGGATGATTTCTTTCCAATCCCAGCAAACACTCAGCATAAACTTTCGACGCTTTAACAATGAACTTTTTCGCACATTACTAACGTATTTGATTTTGGTTTCCTGTTACCATTCGCTTCAGAAATGGTTCGATTTCATTTCGTTATAGCAAAGAATCACAGATTAAATTTTTCACAGACAATTCATGTGGTACCCAAAAATCGAGCTTCTTTCAACTGGTTCAAAATAGTTTGATGATGAATTTTAAGTTCCTTAGCGATGTCATGGCTGCTTATGTGACGGTCCTGGTCAATTTTTTCCATAATTTCATCCACTTTTTCAACGAGAGGTCGACCAAAGCAAGGTGCATCTTTCACATCGAAATTTCCAGAACGCAAGCGAGCGAAGCACTGGACATATGTGACTGCAACGACATCTAATGACAAGATACGAAAATTTTCCGCTAGAGAAGGTTTCGACTACCCAATATTATTAGGAAACGCATACAGTGACTTAATTTTTTCTCACCCAAGTGTAAAGGTGCATTTCATAACCACCCTAAACTACTTAAATTATGCAAATAATCGCGTACATATGATTTTTTTTAATTTGAAAGACTCGTGCTTAAGGAATATTCTAGCAACTTCTAAGAAAGTCAAAACTCTTAGCTCCAGCTGTCTATTCACTGTTAGTGCTGACAGTTCGGTAGCAACCGCTTTTCCATAGAACATTAACGACATTGAGACAATCATGATTTTTAAGAAAATCAAATCAAATATACGCGGGGTTCAAAAAAAAATATAAATAATTTGTTGTGCTTGTCGGAAAACGTGAATTATATCATGTCATGTCCGCAAACTGCAGCACACCGCTATATACAGACACACCGATACAGTTTTGCACTAATGTAATCAATTTATTAAGGATTTATTGCAACAACGACCAAATGTTAAGCGTTTAAACCTTTAACAATGAATTCGTCACGACAAACCGAAGAAATATATTTTAATAAACTATAAAAATAAGTAAAGTAAATGGCAGAGCAATTAAATATGTAAATATTTTAATTGAATACAGCCGATAGTCTACCGGTTGCAGTTGAACCAAACCCAAAAAATACCAACGTACATATGTACATATATATGTATGTAAGTGCTTGCGAATTGCAGCTTTGTCGTGAGCCAACTGGAAGTGTTATTTGATCTTAGTCACTCAAATAAATCAGTGAAATGTCTGTACGTAAATATATCATAATATATTTTATACGAGCAAAGAAAATGTTTGAAGGAAAAACGAGTAAGAATATTTAACATTTATCGCGCAATCATAGGAGGGAGGCTACGCCTTGTATTTGTAATTATCTATATGAGTACATACAT